TGCAGTCCCTGGCTCAGAATACCCACTTCTGTATTCAAAGCCAGTGATAGCTGGTCAAGTCTTCCACACACCACCTCACTCTTCCACATTTAAGGGCCCTTCTGATTACATTGGGTCCACCTGATAATCTAGGCTCATCTCCTTATCCTAAGGTCAGCTCATTAGCAACCTTACTGCCACGTGCAAACTTAATTCTCCCTTGTCATGTAATATAACATATTCACAGGTTTTCCACAGTGACATTATGAACATGTTTTGGGGGACTGTCTAAAATTTTCTCATTCTGGCCGGGGGCGGTGGCTCACGCCTGTAATCCCAGCACTTTGGGAGGCTGAGGCGGGTGGATCATGAGGTCAAGAGATCGAGACCATCCTGGTCAACATGGTGAAACCCCATCTCTACTAAAAATACAAAAAATTAGCTGGCATGGTGATGCGTGCCTGTAATCCCAGCTACTCAGGAGGCTGAGGCAGGAGAATTGCCTGAACCCAGGAGGCGGAGGTTGTGGTGAGCCGAGATCGCGCCATTGCACTCCAGCCTGGGTAACAAGAGTGAAACTCCATCTCAAAAAAAAAAAAAATTTCTCATTCTGGGACCAGTCCTTAGAGCAGACAGAGGGCAAGGCTCCTAAGGGGCTGTTGGTCTCAAAGGGTCGTGGGGTATCCCTTATGCTGTGCTGAGAAGCAGGATCTGAGAAGTAAAGAGACAGGACATTGAAGAACTGAAGAAGAGCAGCTGGACTTGGGGGGCCATACCACCTATGAGCAGAGACTGGCCCGCCCACACGTCCAGAAGTGTCTGTATTTATTAGGTACAAGCAGGGGGAAGGGTCGTGAGGTCTATAGACTTAGTGATAGGATATACACAATCACATAAGTAACAAGCGAGGGGGGCACCCCATTATGTTACCCGGGGAAAGAGGTGGGCCATGCACAGTAGGGTCCCGTGCCGTGTGCAGTAGTAGAGGGTCGTGTACAGAAAAGGGGTCCACCCCATTAGGTCACTGAGGCAAGGAGGTGGGCTGTATGCAACAGGTGTCCTGTGCAACACTTCTTATCTGGAGACTTCAAAGGATTTCTAATAGAAAGATACTGTAAATCGGCTGGGCACGGTGGCTCAAGCCTGTAATCCCAGCACTTTGGGAGGCCGAGGCAGGTGGATCACGAGGTCAAGAGATCAAGACCATCCTGGTCAACATGGTGAAACCCCGTCTCTACTAAAAATACAAAAAATTAGCTGGGCACGGTGGCGCGTGCCTGTAATCCCAGCTACTCAGGAGGCTGAGGCAGGAGAATTGCCTGAACCCAGGAGGCAGAGGTTGCAGTGAGCCGAGATCACGCCATTGCACTCCAGCCTGGGTAACAAGAGCAAAACTCCGTCTCAAAAACAGAAAAAAGAAAGATACTGTAAGTCAATGCAGTGGGAGCTAACAGACTTGTGCTCTTGTCTAACATATTTATGGGAGGATGATCTGAGATAGTGCAGGAGCAAGAAAAGGCTGACAGGGTTTACAGCCGCTATGACCCAGTCACATCAGAGGGGTTCTCCCTCAGTTATTTGTGGAATCTCAGGCCTGAGGCCTACTTTCCACAGGAACTAGATGCAAGGTACTACAAGGCTCTTGCTCCAAGCCTTCCATACAACGTATGCCCTTTCAGGCAGGAATGTCACTGCCTGGGTCTTTGGTTCTTGTCCTGGTCTGGCTGTTTTCCCATGTACTACTTCCACTTTGTGACTGCTCTAGGCATTCCTCCTATTCCAAACTACTATATGGTTATATAGAAGGATTATATAAATCAGCACTAAACGTGTCAGTACAGCTCTGACTACAACATCTATATGATTATACAGAAAGAGTATATGGAACTAAGTATGCTAGATATAAGTACTAAGCTTATTTATGATTATATAAGCTAGATATATGTAAGCAGTAAGTTATGCTTCAGGCACTAATTCTATAAACTAATATATGGCTATATATAAAGGATTATATAAAGGAAATAGCTGAGTAATAACACTATAAAGATATTCTTCAGGCACTAACAGTGCCTGGGGTTTGCACAGCTCTCCTGCCCTGGTGCCCATGTAGGGGATTACCCACACTAAGGAGTGTTGAAATGGGCCCTTGAGATTTCAGCACCCCAGCATTTTAATTTTTTTCCTCAGCAATCAATTTACTTAAAAGTTTTTTGTATATATTTGTAAGGCACATGTGATGTTTTGATTTAGGCATGCAGTGTGAACTAATCACATAATGGAGAATGGGGTACTCCCCAACATTTTTAGTGACTAAAAAATGAAAATTCTGACTGGGCATGGTGGATTATGCCTGTAATCCCAGAACTTTGGGAGGCTGAGGCGGGTGGATCATGAGGTCAAGAGTTCAAGACCAGCCTGGCCAACCTAGTGAAACCCTGTTTCTACTAAAAATACAAAATTAGCCAGGCATGGCGGTGCATGTCTGTAATCCCAGCTACCTGAGAGGCTGAGGCAGGAGAATCGCTTGAATCAGGAAGTGGAGGCTGCCATGAGCTGAGATTGCGCCATTGCACTCCAGCCTGGGCAACAAGAGCAAAACTCTGACTCAAAAAAAAAAAAAAGATGAAAGAAAGAAAAGAAAATTCTGATCACAGACCAGGCATGGTGGCTCAAGCCTATAATCCCAGTACTTCAGGAGGCCAAGGCAGGATGACCACCTGAGCCCAGGAGTTCAAGATCAGCCTTGCAAAATAGTGGGATCTCATCACTAAAAAAAACTGCAAAAATTAGTCAGGTGTGGTGGTACACACCTGTGGTCCCAGCTACTCAGGAGGCCAAGGTAGGAAGATCACTTGAGCCCAGGACATTGAGGTTGCAGTAAGCCCTGGTCATGCCACCGCACTCCAGCCTGGGTAACAGAATGAGACCTTGTCAAAAAGAAAAAAAATTCTGATCAGGCCCATGCTTGCTTGCACATGCTAACCACTCACTTTTTGCCCAGTATTCGTTGTTCCCACAATATAAACTGCTGATGTGCTGTTTCTTTGCAAGCAGGAGGAGATAACTTCAGGGTCACGGAAAAAAAGTTGCAGAAGGAATGAATGCCTTGAAGGATGTTGTGACCAGCTGCTGATGCCCAGAAGTCTGGTGGCTCACGGGGTTATCTGATACCGAGGAAACACATTCTGGGTTCCCTGAAAGGCCCCCTCCCTCACTCCTTAGTTGCATAAAACTCCCTGCTACTTTTTGAGACAGGCTCTTACTTTGTAACCCAGGCCAGAGTGCAGTGGTGTGAACACAGCTCACTGCAGGCTTGACCTCCTGGGCTCAAGCAGTCCTTCTGCCTCAGTGCCCCAAGTAGCTGCAACTGAAGCTTTTGGAAGTTAGATTCCAAATGAAACCCTAACCATGCCACCATGCCTGGTTATTTATTTTTTTTGTAGAGACAGGGTTTCACCATGTTGCTCAGGCTGATCTTGAACTCCTGAGCTCAAGTGAGCCACATGCCTCAGCCTCCAAAAGTGCTGGGATTACAGATGTAAGCCACCCTGCTGCTTCTTTCTGTTAAGAGGGATTTGAGAGATTTGTTCCCCTGCCTTCTCACTTTGGCAAAATCAAATAAACCTTTCTCTACCTCCAAGCACTGGTGTCCTACTGTTTGGCCTTACCCGTACATCAGGTACACCAACCTGAACTTGGGGTTCTGACAGTGTTAGATTCCAAATGAAACCCTAACCGTGCTACTTTTCTCCATCCACAGCCCAGCTTCAGCACCTGCTCTCAAAAAGACTGGGCCAAATTAGACTTGGAGCAGTGGCTCAGTCACAAACAGCATGACATCACCAGGGTGAGTCACCAAATGGTGGCCACCACAAGAGGGTGGCTGGGTTTTGAGGGATACTGAGAACCCAGGAGAACCTTTCTGTCAGGGCTGCTGGTGATGCTACCTGAGTCAACAGGAGGGAGGAAGGAAAGTGTGGCAACGTGGTGGTCTGTAGCTGGGAGAGGGTTTCAGTTTTAATCATCCATAACTACCACGCTCCACACAGGAGAAGGAAGAGGTGCAGGGGTTGTAACCCACACCAGAAGGGACTGGAACTCAGACAGGGCTCACCCCATCTGGATGAAGCAAGCTTCTTAGCTTCATTCAAATAGCTTCTGGGCTTTGACATCAGTTGGGCTGGGTTCAAATCCCACTGTGGTACTTATAGACTGTGTGAACCCAGGACAGTGGTCTAACTTCTCTGAGCCTCTAGTTCCTTAAGAGAATGGCATCACTATGCACTTCACATAGCTATTAAGAATTTAAAGCAGTGGCTCATGCCTGTAAGCTATTAAGAACTTAAAGCAAAAAAAAAAAAAAAAAAAAAAGGAATTTAAAGCAGTGGCTCATGCCTATAATCCCAGCACTTTGGGAGGCCAAGACAACTGGATCATGGTGGAAAATTAGCCAGGTTTGGGAGTTCAAGACCTGCCTGGCCAACATGGTGGAACCCCGTCTCTACTAAAGAATTCAAAAAGTAGCTGGGTGTGATGGTGTACACCTGTAGTCTCAGCTACTCGGGAGGCTGAGGCAGAAGAATCGCTTGAACCCAGGACGTGGACGTTGCAATGAGCCGAGATCGCACCACTGCACTCCAGCCTGGGCAACAGAGTGAGACTCCACCTCAAAAAAAAAAAAAAAAAAAATAGAAAGAAAAAGAACTAAAAGTGGCCAGGCGTGGTGGCTTGCACCTCTAATCTCAGCCCTTTGTGAGGCCAAGGAGGTCAGGAGTTTGAGACCAGCCTGGCCAACATGGTGAAACTCCATCTCTGCTAAAAATACAAAAATTAGCCGGGTGTGCTGGTGCACACGTAATCCCAGCTACTCGGGAGGCTGAAGTGGGAGAATTGCTTGAACCTGGGAGGTTGCAGTGAGCTGAGATCGCACCACTGCACTCCAGCCTAGGCAACAAAGTAGTGAGACTCCGTCTCAAAAAAAAATTAAAGTGCTTATGTAAGATTCTAGAGTGGGAGGACTTTAAGACGGTCTGTGAGAAGCCCCAGCATGGGTGGGCAGTAAGACCAACACTGTGAGCATGAGTCTTGAAATAGACACAGGGTTGAATTTTGCCCTTACTATAGCCAGCTGTGTGAATTGGGGTGAGTTATTTAACCCACATAAGCCCCAGTCACTGAATACACTGGACACCAACTCTGAGGCAAGCAGCTTCTTGTTATGGAAAGCGAGGATAATATCAGTACCCCCTTCCTCAGGTTGCAGTTAGATGCTCTCAGGCAACTCGATTTAGTGTCTGGCATGCAGGAGTTTCACTTACGTTAGAGTAACGTAATCCACCTACAGGTGCTGGGAGGTTGGTGTGTAGGGACTGGGAGCTAACTGGATTAAAAAGCCATCAGTGATACTGTAGGGAGGGCATCCTTGACCTCAAGCCTCTGCCTCTGGGTTGGCGCCACTACGACCGACCGGCAAGCTCATCCAGGTATAGACAGAGGCTGGTGGCTCCTGGCCAGCTCAAAGTGTTTCCTTTTGCTTGGTAACCAGGAGGAGTGGCTGAGGAAGGGCATGGAGTGGAGCAACACAGCTAAAAATTACCCACTCTGGATCCCCCCGGCTCCCCCAGACTGAAGAGGCAAGTGAATAGGGAGTTACTGGGAAGAACAGGCCGGGCCGAGGGCTTGAAAAGGCTCTAAATCCCTACTGTCTGCCAGGAGCTTGGGGCTCTGCCCTACCTTGGGACAAAAGGCGAGGTGGGAAGCTGAATGTCTGATTTGGGATGAGGTCCCCCAAAGCCATGAACCGGCATCCTGGGGAACCCGATCGCAGGGACGGGAGGTGGTTAAGTAGAAAGCCCGTCTGCACACCCCTTCCCTCTGCCACAGGTCTGGATCCGGATGAGTCCCCAGTAAGAACGGCAGCCGCCCGGGGGACCCACCATGTACGCGTACAGCTGGCTGTCGCCCGGGGAGGGCGTCTGGCCGCCGCCGCAGCCGTTCACCTGCGCCTACCTAGCCGCCCCTCTGCTCCTGCCCCCCATCCAGGCCCATAGCTTCCGCAGCCGGCCCGGGAGCCTGTACACGGGCGAGTTGCCGGCCCCGCGAGAATACCACCGCTTCTACGGCCTCGCCGCGCCGCCCGAGGCCGCACAGCCCTGGTGGGCCTGCCCTCCGGCCTACGCCGCGGCCCTGCGCACCCCCTGCCCGGCAGCGGGAATCTCGGGACTGTCGCTACAGGCGCCAACGGCGGCGGCGGAAAGCTGGACTCCGTGGCCCGAGGGCGGCAGCCTGCAAACCGAGCTACGCTGGGGACGCGTGGAGCGCGCGCGAGGCCCGCCTCTGCAACTGCCCGACTTCGTGCGCCGGGAGCTGCGGCGCGCGTATGGCACCTACCCCCGCGCCGACGTGCGCGTCATCCAGCGCCGCGGCCAGTTTCTGCTTCAGGCGACTCCGCGCGTGCGCGAGCCCGAACGCCGCGTGGAGTGGCCAGTGCGGCGCGGGCCCGACAGCGGCGACAACGGCCCAGGTCAGGAAGCCGCGGAGCGCGGCCGCCCCAGGAACAGCAAGGGCCTGAGCTGAAGGCGCCGCGAAGCCTAGCGACTGGGCTGCGTGCATGCGCGCGCGGCTCCTTACCTCCAATGGAGCCCTCACCTGCGCGCGGGAGCCGGGTGCGCCGCTCACCTGCCTTTTTGGCTTTTCCCATGACTGCCCGCCCCCTTTCTGCACTGGTTTCTCTCGCCTTATTGCTGGACGGTAGAGAAAGGGCGAGGGCAAGATGGAATCAAGGACACCTCTGGGTGTTGTGTACCTCTTTCCTTCTTGCAGCTTGGGAAGTGGAGGACTTGCGATGGAAGAAGAGCCTGGGCCTCCCTCCTTCCTCTTCCCCATCTTCGCTTAAGGAGCCTGCCCTGCAGTAAGCCACAACTTTTCCTTCTTCTTTTCCCTCTATCAGAGTCGTCGCTCACCGCCTCCCCGCCCCCTACACCGTTCCCACCGTTCCCCTACCCCAGCCTTCCTGCCAAGCCGAGGGGCCACCGTGATCCTCGGCTTAGTAAGAAAAGTAAATAGGCCGGGTCCAGTGGCTCGCGCCTGGAATCCCAGCACTGTGGGAGGCAGATCGCTTGAGCCTAGGAGTTGGAGACCAGCTTGGGCAATGTGGCGAAACCTCGACTCTACATAAAAAAAAAAAAAAAAAAAAAAATACAAGAATTAGCCGGGTGTGGTTGCATGCGCCTGTAGTTCTAGCTACTCGCGAGGCTGAGGTGGGAGGATCACCTGAGCCCGGGAAATCGAAGCTGCAAGGAGTCGTGAATGTGCCACTGCACTTCATACTGGGTGACTGAAACTGGGTGTCCCCCCCAAAAAAAAACAGTAAATAAATGAGCAAAGTCAAGTATACACTGCGAGATCATTATGTTTTGGGGTGGTGTTTCCCCATCTGTTTATCTGTTTAACGGGAGTCTTACCTCCCACCCTGGGTACAAGAAGGTAGGGTGAAGGGGCATGAAGTTGAACTGGTCCTCTGGAGAAAGCACGTGCCTGCTCGCTGGGCCCAGCTCCCGTCTTCATCATCTCCCTCCAAGTGTGCAGGCCAGCACCTTCTAACCCTCCTTGGTCCTGTGGCCCACCACCCTCAGAGATGCAGAGGAGAGACTGACAAGCAAATAGGTGAGTATGTGATATAGTATCAAATAGTGATACTTGATGGGTACTGTTTTAAATGGGATTGAGAAGGCTTCTCCACAGAGGTGACTTTTGAAGTGTGGTAGGCATGATTAGGTAAGGGATGGCTGAGACCTGGTATTAGGGCTGGCTCTGACATTTTCTACCTATGTAACTTAAGGCTCTCTGACTCAGTTTCTTCATCAGTAAAAGGCATAAAGTAACCCAGCCTACTTGGACATTAAGATGGATGTCTCTTCTTGCCTCCTAATTCTTGCTAATAATCGTTAATTCTTTTTTTTTTTTTTTTTTTTTTTTTTTTTTTTTTGAGACAGAGTCTCGATTTGTCACCAGGCACCAGGCTGGAGTGCAGTGGCGCGATCTCGGCTCACTGCAACCTCCGCCTCCCGGGTTCAATCAATTCTCCTGCCTCAGCCTCCTGGGTAGCTGGGACTACAAGCACATGCCACCTCGCCCAGCTAATCTTTTTGTATTTTTAGTAGAGATGGGGGTTTCACCATATTGGCCAGGATGGTCTCGATCTGTTGACCTCGTGATCTGCCAGCCGCGGCCTCCCAAAGTGCTGGGATTACAGGCTTGAGCCACCGTGCCTGGCCTTAATCGTTAATTCTTAATAGGCTGAGGTTTGCAATATTCTAGGAGTTTGCTGAAGTGTTAGGCCAGGTAGCCAATTTTAAGTAGGATCTAGCCAGATCTGAGGCCCAGCTGTAGAAATTTGGCCCCTTGTGGAATTGCTTTTACTGAACTTCCATTTGTAGCTGACCGAGAGTTACCTGGGTATACTCAGGTGAGTTATTGAAGTTGTAGACCAGCAGATTGGGCACTACTGTATTTATGAGCTTCTTGGATAAGTTCTCTCAAATCTCAGCTCTTAGAAAAGGTGTTTCTCCTAATCAATGGTTTGCTTTTATCTTTTAAGCAATAAGGATCTCATTACTGATCATATTTTTCTTTTGGCCCTGATTTCCAAGAAGCTCAGAGCCAAATTTGCTTAGTGTCTTTTTTTTTTTTTTTTGGGAAACAGAGTCGTACTCTGTTGCCCAGGCTGCAATGCAGTGGCATGATCTCAGCTCACTGCAACCTCTGCCTCCTGGTTCAAGCGATTCTCCTGCCTCAGCCTCCTAAGTAGCTGGGATTACAGGTGTGTGCCACCATGCCCATCTAATTTTTTTTTTTTTTTTTTTGAGACAGAGTTTCGCTCTTGCTACCCAGGCTGGAGTGCAATGGCACGATCTCGGCTCACCGCAATCTCCGCCTCCTGGGTTCAGGCAATTCTCCTGCCTCAACCTCCCGAGCAGCTGGGATTACAGGCACACACCACCGTGCCCAGCTAATTTTTTGTAATTTTAGTAGAGACGGGGTTTCACCATGTTGACCAAGATGTTCTTGATCTGTTGACCTCGTGATCCACCCGCCTCGGCCTCCCAAAGTGCTGGGATTACAGGCTTGAGCCACCGCGCCCGGCCTAATTTTTGTATTTTTAGTAGAGACGGGGTTTCGCCATCATGGCCAGGGTGGTGTTGAACTCCTGGCCTCAAGTGATCTGCCCACCTTGGCCTCCTTAAATGCTGGAATTACATGGCATTTGCACCCAGCCAGCAAATTATGTATAAAACAAACACTGGCGGGGTGCAGTGGCTCACACCTGTAATCCCAGCACTTTGGGAGGCTGAGGCAGGTGGATCACGAGGTCAGGAGTTCAAGACAAGCCTGACCAATATGGTGAAACCCTGTCTCTACTAAAAAAAACAAAACAAAACAAAACAAAATTAGCCAGGCGTGGTGGCATGTACCTGTACCTCAGCTACTTGGGAGGCTGAGGCAGAAGAATCGCTTGAACATGAGACGGGGAGGTTGTAGTGAGCCAAGATTGCACCACTGCACTCCAGCCTGAGCGACAGAGCGAGGCTCAGTCTAAAAAAAAGTTTGCAATACAGAAATATGTGATACAGGAAGTTAAAGTCTTTTCTCATTTTCTTCACCCCTTAATGATCATTGAGGTCCAATCCATTTTTCTATGCACATAGTATTTATACATATATGTATATACACACGCACACACACACACACACACACACACACATTTTTAGACTGAGTTTGACTTCTGTCACCCAGGCTTCTGGAGTACAGTGGTGCGATCTCAGCTAACTGCAACCTCTCCCTCTCGGGTTCAAGCAATTCTCCTGCCTCAGCCTCCCAAGTAGCTAGGATTACAGGTACCCACCACCATGCCAGGCTAATCTTTGCATTTTTAGTAAAGATGGGGTTTCACTATGTTGGCCAGGCTGGTCTCAAATTCCTGTCCTCATCATTCACTGCCTTGGCCTCCCAAAATGCTGGGATTACAGGTGTGAGACACTGTGCCGGCCTTTATTTTTGATTTAAAAAATAAGTGTCAGAATTTACTTTAGAATAAGGTAATCAGGGATGGCTTCTCTGAGGAGGTGATATTTAAGTTGAGATCTTAAGAATGCAAAGCTAACCATGGAGAGAAGGGTGAGGGGAAAGCCAGGCAGAGGTCATGGTGGGTGCAAAAGCACTACGGAGTGAAAGTTATCTTCATTCACTCGACAAGCATTGAGGGCCCACAATATGCCAGTCAGAATTCTAGGTACTGGGGCTACAGCACAAAACCAAGTAAGTCTCTGCCCTCTTGGAGCTTACTTTAGAGGTATAACAGAGGAGGAGAGACTGACAAACAAATAGGTATGTGATATAGTATCAAATAGTGATACTTGATAGGTACTATTTTAAATGGGATTGAGAAGTCTTCTCCAAAGAGGTGACTTGAGTGTAGCCATGATAAAGACCTTTGCAAGTTATTTGAGAATACCAGGTATGACCACCCTATGGCTAAGTGTCTTTGTCCTGTGACCAAGCACATGTGATAAGAGGTGAACCAGATCCTGTGGTGCCATGAAGCTGTATTGAGAATTTTGGATTTTTTTTTTTTTTTTAATTTTTTTGAGACAGTGTCTCACTTTGTCACCCAGGCTGGAGTGCAATGGTGCAATCTCAGCTCACAGCAACCTCCGCCTCCTGGGTTCAAGCAATTCTTCTGCCTCAGCCTCCCAAGTAGCTGGGATTATAGGCACGCACTACCATGCCCAGCTAATTGTTGTATTTTTAAGTAAAGATAGGGTTTTTGGTCAGGCTGGTCTTGAACTCCTGACCTCCTGATCTACCCACCTCGGACTCCCAAAGTGCTGGGATTACAGGCGTGAGCCACCACTCCTGGCCCCAAGAATTTTGCATTTTATTCTTAATGCTTGGAGGGTTATGAGCATAGGAGTAATGTTATCAGATTCTAAAATTATTATTATTATGGCTGCTGTGTGGAAAAGAGACTATAAGGGGTCATGGAAATGGGAGGCAGTTAGTAGTTAGAAGGCTTTGAAGTATAGTCAGGCACCCCGTAATGATGGTTCGGTTGATGACAAGAGCACATATATGATGGTGGTCCCCTAAGACTGTAATGCTGTATTTTTACTGTACCTTTTCTATGTTTAGATACACAAATACTTACCATTGTGTTACAGTTGTCTTCAGTATTCAGTACAGCCTCATGCTGTACAGGTTTTGGCTTAGGAGCAATAGGCTCTACCATATGGCCTAGGTGTGTAGGTGGCTATACCATCTAGGTTTGTGTAAGTACGCTCTAGAATGTTCAGACAATGACAAAATAGCCTAATGATGCATTTCTCAGAATGTATCCCCATCATTAAGCAACACGTGACTGTAGTACAGGAACTAGAAGAGATGACTTAGTCTTATTTGGAAGCAGTAAGGGTGATGAGGAAATAAATGTCATTGAATATGTTATCTTTGTCCACATATACAAGTGTTAAATTGTAGAATGTAAGGTCTTCAAGATGGAGATTGAATCACTGAACAATGACAGCTAGTAGCAACAAGAACAACCAAAATCCGGGTCTTTAGTTCTAAATTCCATTCTCAGCTAAAAGGTACCAGAGTTCTTGGGAGAATGGCTGATTCTAGGTCTGGGGCAGTGAAAGTACATGATGAGCCTAGAACAACTTATTCCAAAAAATAAAGGACTACTCAAAAATGGCAAAAGGACAAAGAATCCAGCTTCAAGGGACTTCCACTGGCCAAGTCAGGGACAATTTAAGCATCAAAACGAATAATGATAGTAATTCATCATAACTCACTGGAAAAAAGTAAGAATCCGCAAGTCCATACTAATTATCACTAAATAAATAAATATGAAGGAAAAACGAATCCTAACAGTAGAAGGAATAATAAAATTAGAAAATTGCCATTCCCAGCCATCATAGTAATAATTGAATCAGGTGATACTAAATTGATTCAGGTCACTCATGGATAATAAAACTAATGGCTACAAATTTGAATAAAAACAGAATATTTATTTAGTTTCAAAATATGTTCCAATAAGATATTTATTAATTACAAAGTGAAAACGAGTAAGCTAGTAGCATAATAGGGAAAACTGATGTAAACCACCTTAATTAAGTTATCAAAGCTGTAGGGTCCCCCAGTATCCCCTATTTCTGTGCCTTGACTCAAAAATCAGAGTGCTTTAACCACTCTGTGACCCAACATGTTTTACCCTGAAGGCTTGAACCCACACTGGGGTCTTGAACATTCCCTGGCACTGATAAAGGTATCTAGGTTGTTGCCCAAAACACTGAGCCCCAGCCCTGAGCTAAATGCCTTAAACTCTCAGGTAAACT